CCGAGGTCCTGTGATAATATTAGTCCCGTGCGAATCGGCATCTCTCGCATATCATTTTTCGAGGTTTTTGTTTGCTGTGCACCTTTTAATCCATCTTTCGCGAAAAATGGAGCTTTCAGCAAGGACAAATTAAATTGATCATAAGTGAAATATTTTACATTGTTACAAAATAATATATTTCAAATAAATGCTGTTCTTTTGAACTTTCTAATTAATTAAAAAATCCAGAAAAAAATGTATCACAGTTTCCACAAAAATACGAAGCAGCACAACTGTCTCAACATTGATAATAATAATGTTCCTTGAGCACCAAATCCTATTAGAGGATCACTGGACACTGAAGACTGGAGTAATGATGCTAAAAATTCAGCTTTGCCACCACAGGAATAAATTAAACATTTTCCTTTATTACATTTAAATGTAATAGATTTAAATAGAAAAGAGTTATTTTACATTTTAATAATGTCACAATATTAATTTTTACTGTAATTTGATTAAATAAATGCAGCCTATTGTGAACATAAGAGACCTTTCAAAAAGACAAAATTGATCCAAAACCTTTGAACAATAGTTATCTATAGGTATTATCTAAAAGTAACATTTTAATACACTTACTCAGTGAATATTTCAATTTCTCCTCCAGAAATATGGTTTTAACTAAAAATTAAATGAAATGTCATGGGGGAAAAGTAAATAAATCCACACACTCCTCATCTTTTTGCAGCCTACCAGGGGGTGCCATCATAGCCAGGCTCCTGGATATCGGTAAAGAATCGTGCATGGCCTGTGGGAAACTGTTAGAGACGAGAGGTCATAATGAAGAAGTGCATATCTGCCTTCGCTGCGCAGGTTGGTTTTCTCGCTCTAGAGAAAGGACTGATTTCAGAACATCTATAACTGGCAAAAAGAAACAGACTGTTAGACCAACATGCTGGACAAAATGATTTCCTTTCACAGGCCATTACTGCTCGCTGTGCTTCAGACTGATGGGGAAGCTCTGTGCTATCTATCTGTATGGCACCCCTCACATTCCACGAGGACCAAGAGCTGTATGTCTCATGACAGAACAATGATAGACACTTTAAAAAACATTTTTGGAATGAATATAAATTAAGCTCTATGGACAACATCTGTGGTAGCAATAATACCAACAAAGACACTGTCACTGTAAGCACACTTTTTTCAACAAGGACGAAACAGTCTAGTTTGTGGAATCGGCAGCTTGTATTTTTAACCTGGCATATTCTTTTCAAGGTGTTGAGGGCATATTATATATTATAGAATTATTACTAAAGAAACAGAATTATGATAATGGAAGAACAGATTTTGCATACACTAGGCCTTCATACAGCTCAAATGAACAAATTCATTTCAGTTAGATCATTATTCTGATTAGCTTTTATTTTGCCATTTTGAAAATGTACAGAAAAGTTCTACACATAAATACTTATTTGTGAGTTTCAGAGACTCCAGTGATGAGGAGCAAGCCAGTTTCAGCCTGGCCAGAGCGTAGAGAGGAAGAGCAGTGCTGCCAAGTTGAATTGTCACTTAATGTTGCTAGATGACCTCATAAAGGTGAGTTCACTGATCTATATTTATATTTATATAGATCAGTGAACTCGCCTTTATAACGTCATGGGAGAGTCTCTGAATGTAGATAAGGTTTGTCCAAGAAATTGATTTTGATTTTAAAAGTCACTAAATCTAGTGACAAAATCACTAAATTGGCAACATTGGCACATTGACTATAACATAGGTTATTCATATTTCATTGGTTCTCTTGTTTTTGCATGTGTTCATAATTTCTTTGTATAACAGCATGGCCAAAAAATTATACGTTTGCATGTCTTACTATCAGCCATGATTATTCTACTCTGTTAATTAAAAGGCTGTTTATATGCATATTCACTAATTGTTTATGAGAAGCACATATGTAAAAGGCTGACAATTAACTGAACATATACTTGTTTAATTAGTGACACAATCACACAAGGTCCCCAGATAATACTAATCCCGTGCGAATAGGGCTTTGGCCTGCAATTTTAAACCTTTATTTGAATATGACAACATAATATTGCACTCTACAATATTTCTATGAATAAATCTCTGCAGAGACTATCAACCAATCGCTGTGTGCATAGTTAGTAAGCACGCTGACATCATCCATAGCAACGAGGCCAACCCCGCCCTTACTCTTAGCTTAAGACTTCTCTCTATTCCTTAGTAAAAGTTTGTCTCAGCAGCTTTGTGAATCGGTTTTAAGAGAAAACTCTTAGTTAAAAACTTTTACTGCTATTTAGGAGAACTCTTAGTGGTAAGATAAAAGGTTTTGTGAATAGGGGCCCAGGTGTCCAGAGTAACTGAGCAGCTTTGACGCATACTTTTGAGTTAAACAGATGAACAGGGCATCTTTCAAACTAGCAGTATTACCCATGTCTTTTTTGTATGTCTGTTTCAGTATTTCCGATCAGGATCATTCTATATGGATCAACAACATCAAAATGTCGAGGTTAATAACAGAGTTTAAGGTCAAAGCTGCTTTATGCTTTCACAGATTCTTTGGTGTTGAATATAAATCTGTTATGTTATACCAGTTGGAGTAGGCTGTGTGCTTTTATTATATTTTATCGCTTTGTCCATACTGCAACATAGGCATGCATGATGAAACTACAAAAAATGTTCAAATGTTATCACATGTAATCTCATCACATCTGTCAGAATGCGGTTGGTCTGGTTACATTACATTTACATGGTTATCGGAGGAATGTTGAGTATGAGCTGCAGTTTCTTAACAGTAAAACAAATATTCAAACTATTTCCATCTTTTTTTACATTAAACTAAGAAATACCAGTCAATATCTGTGTGTATCGCAAATTAACACATATTCCGTACACAACATATTCCCATATAAACTCTCAACACTATAAAAGCGTGAACGTCCCCCTCGTGCGCGTGAAGAGTGGGCGGGTCGGAGGCGCGAGGCACTGCTGGTCAGGTGATGAAATACCCTCGCTTCACTTCACCTGCTCTAGTTTCCGCATGGGACATAAAACAAACCCAATGGCCACACAGGTAAGCTTTTATTTTTGTTGTATTTAAATAGTTTATGTTTTCGTTTACTTACAAGATCCACTTGTAGCTATATTTCACCAATATATTTTATTTTTCGTCATAATTTCCCTTCGATATTGCAAATGCAGAAAATGAATTAAATGTAGTTACTTTGATCAAATGTAACTTATTTGTATTCTTAATCTGGTCAATGTGGACTAATCGCAGTCGTGCAAATACAATTGCAAGTTACATTATTTTAAACACTATACATAAACAGTATGAATATTTTTCAATATTTTTCTAAAACTAAAAAAACTATTTTACATGTAATTAGTTTTTATGTGTCTGGTTTTTTTTTTGTGACCAACGCCCAAACTAGATGTCAGTCATGCTAAACAGTCCAGCACAGGAATGTATTGTAAGAGTAGCCTAGATAGTGGTAGTAACTAGTCTCTACAGCTCCTGTTCACCAGCAAACAAACGGATTACAACTGATAAACGGAGGATTTCATGAAGAATGCAACAAAGCCTTGCCGTTATGTGTCGAAGGGTGGTTTCTGTCAATTAGAGATGTTTCTTTTTAGCTGTGCTTGAGTCTGAAACTATTCTCACTCTGTAGTACACAGATCTAGAATTGGCCATAAACACCTTGGTCAAAAACTTCCATTCAGCATCTCCTACTAATGCTGACACGCTCACAGCCCAGGAGTTCCAGAGCATGATCTCCAAAGAGCTGCCCACCATGGTGAAGGTAAGTCAGGACCTACACTCCAATCGTGACACCACTTAAGTACATTTCAGTCTCTCAAAACCTATTATAATATCAACCTAAAAGCTACATTGCCATAATCAACAATGGTTTACTTCCCAGCAAACAGAGAGCATTCTCAGAGCTTTGGCAAAACTTAAATATCTTAGAACATATTTTTGTTAGCTGGGTTGATGCCATTTTGTCCAGGACAGACCAAAATGACACTTAAAATAAATATGAGAAATTATCATCATAATTTTTGTTAAGTTTCCCACACCCTCTATTCTCTTTCAGACAGCAGGGGACCAGGAAGGACTCAACAAACTCCTGACGGACATGAATGTGGAAGAGGGGAAGGGTGTCGCATTCAAGGATTTTTGGCGATTGGTTGATTCTCTGGCCACTGCTCAGTTTGGATTGCTGAGCAAAGAGAAACAAGTAAAATGTGTGAAATGTAGTCTGATGTAAGACCGGCCCTGAGCAAACAAGACCGATCAACATTGTGTCGGTGTCCACCACAGCCCTGAGAAAAAAACATCAAATCAGCAGCTTCTATTTCCCATCACCCTCTGCAATACTGTACATGTCACTCTATTGGATTCTTTGGTATATTCGCTGAGGTCTTATAATAATTAAGTGTTGTTACAGAGCTTCCTGAATAAATACCCAACAAGCCCTTACGAGACCGTGAGTAATCTCTTTCATCTGTGTAACCTGAGCCACACCTGCCTGGCCAGTAAGATCTAGTGGCTAATTTACTTCCTCATTTGTTCTGGTGCTGCAGGTTTTTGTATTATTGTGTCACTTTCAACCTGCCCAATCTTTTTTTTCTTTTTTTTGCTTTTGTTTTACATACATATACAACTGGAAATGATTTGTTATGTGTTTTGTTTGATGTGACAACTGTGATCATATTTGATATAACTGTGGGCCACAAGTCTGTTTGTGCGGACTGACATGCATCGCAAAAGAGATAATGTGAGCAAAATCTATTGTAGAGGGAAATGGAGATGTGACACCACATATTCTGTACTGTAGTTAACTTTATGGTAACAAAATGTGATTATCTTTGTTGATACTATTAAATATGCGCCAAAGGTTTCTCAGTCTGAATGATCTTTGAAGTTTACAGGTGTAATGAAAGTGCTCTTAAAATTGATGGAGATGGTCTTTATTGATCTACTTACTATTTAACGCTGATGTTAAAATGTCCAAATTAAAATGTTCCAAGACCATTTTAATTACTTAAATATATCAAAAAAGCATCATGGTGAAACTTCATGATTATTTAAATTGAATGATAATTAAAAAAAAACATTCTACATCACTTATGTTTGTGTAAAGAACCTAGATATACAACATAAAAGTAATGGTGGAATAGAGGATACAAATGAGGATGTATTTTTAATACCGTAATAAGTTGTGATGTAGGGAATACTTTTTCAGAGTCTAAACTTCTACATGATTCAATTGAGAATCTCAACAAAAGTTTATGAGCCCTATTTATTCATATCACACATTTTAAGCTAAACTTTCATAAACTCACAATGTACACTTACAGTCCCCGGACTCATGGCGTCCTGGACACCAATATTTTAACAATTCATAGATGATGAATCACTGTCTGGCCATCTGAGATTTTGATATATAGAGATAAAGTTTTCTTTTTTCTTTTATTGTATTGTTTCTCATGCTGACACGGAGTGTATGTGTTTTTGCTGGGGTCAAATTGACCTCAAACAGAAATTGTATTTTTTATAATTAAAGATGTAGGCCTATGAAATGAAAAGAGGTTTATTTCAAAATCAGTATTATTATTTTTACATGTACATCATAACACAACATGAGGGTTTAACTTAAAGTTCAAAAATAAAAGAACAGACATAAAAAAAAAAGATGACACGGAGGCAAAAGCATCTTTTGCTGGAAGATGCTGATGCAACTAATGATGGTTTGTCATTAATCACCTTTATGCTAAGAGTACAGATACTTTATTGTTCCTTAAATTTGGTACACCTTGGTTCTCTCCTGTCTTTTGCTCCTCGTTCATTTCTAAGATCCATTTATATTCATTATATTTAACCACTGATTTTAAAAAGTCAGCTCTATTTAGCACATTTTTGTGTTCTGCTTTGGACTCTGCAGTTGTACTGCATATATATGATATACAAGAGGTCTGCAGCTCTGAGAATATGATAACTTTTCTGGTCAAACTAGTTGAAAGACAATGGTGGTTTAGTCCCTTGAAATAAATACAATATGAAAACCATTTCACTTACGTTTTTCACTTCCTCCATTTTCTTATTTTTAAATGACGTCTGTCACGGACTTCGAAAGTCTGCACAGATAAGAGTAAGAACAGAGGTACATGTCTCATTAAACTACATATCTGTAACTGATGAAATATTATATTTATCCTATATAAAACATTTTAATTTGTTACTTGTATGTTTGTGTAAGCTATTCTGCCACGTTTGAGAGCCAGGTGCATTTTGAATGCCTCAAGATCAAACTGACTGACTGTGTAGGCCTTATAGCCTACATGACTGCGCTTATGAATAGAGAATAGAAAAGGAAGAACCGGAGATGGGAGATGCTACAGGATGAGAAAGTGCAGAAATGTTTAATGTGTGTAAAACTCATTAAAATCCTAACAGCTCCTTAAAATCCTAAAATGTATGTGCCTCTTGCAACCTTGGGCACCTGGAAAGTGGTAGATAAGAGAAGTTATCTTTTGACAAACAGACTAGCAGGTGGTTTTCTACAATGAAAGAAGTGTTATGAAAACGAATAAACAATTGTGGAAAATACCAGGAATGATGTATCAAAGAATGTTCTGAACGCTCATTGGACAGTGACCGATAACGAAACTGTATAAAGATGTCAGAGACAGATTCAGATGTTCTGCAGGCATCTCGGCTTTGTTGTCTTTTTGCAATAAAGTCTCATTTTGACTTCTGGAACTCTGCCTTCTGAGCATTATTTTGCAAGATAGAGAAGACTTTTCTCCACAACATAACAACAGAGAGACATTTAGTAAGACCCGAGTAAATTATTTCAGAAGAAAAGTCCAGGTCCTAAATGTCTTAAATGTTCATTCGATGGCTGATAGAGAGAAACAGCAATAGAGTTTGCACTCAGTCTATTCAGGTATTTGTTCATGTGGACCTAATCATGATAATGGTGCGAAATTCATGTTTCTCCAAATATGTCTACTCTCTAACCTTCAAAAGACAGAGGGAAATGACAGACATTGGACTAACTTCAAACAAAAGTATGCCACAAAAACACATTAATAGTGCATTTAGTCAAATTAATATGCAAGAATACACACATACTAAAACAAAGCAAATAACAAAATGCCATAATAGCGGTCATAAGAAAAACAATAAGATCAGCTAAATGTTTTTTCTTTCAGTTTGAACATTAGTCATGTAATCATAAACCCTTTTCGCTGATTTTTATTTTATTTTATTTTAATGTATTTTTTTTCAGGTCATGGAGTAAGACATGATGAATATCAGAAAGCAACTCCTGTCATGGCCACCCTGCTGTTTTCTGTCTGCAGTCAGCTTTGTGTCTGGCAGGCTGACATGAGTGATCCTGTTCACCCTTCCATTTAGGCTTTAGCGTCTTGCAAGTCCATTAGCTGGAGGCAAAACAAAGGGATAACTGGAGGCGGCCAATACAAACCAGCACAGAGTCGTCTGTGCAAGTGCAACCCCTAACCTGAAGCAGCAATACTTGCTTGAGGATATTTAAATATGTGTACTGCGTTAGGCTAACCGAGACTTGTCACAGAACTTATTGCCCTTTGTTGGTTTTGATTGCTTCTATTGTTCTATAAGCCGCTTTGGATAAATTGTCTGCTAAATGACTAAATGTAAATAATAGTTATTTTTATATTTATATATACGTTATAGGAAAAATTGTATTATAAAACAGTACTACCTTGTGGGTGATTTTCACGAAATATTCAGTTTGACACTATGTACAAACAAGTCAAAAGCATATTATTAAAAACCATGCGATTAAAAAAGCCATCTTTTTTGAAGTACCTAATTATAGCGCCATCTAGTGTCAGGTTGAGGTGTGTCTGTGCAACGTTGGGTAGCGGTGCATGTGGGAAGATGAAGAAAATCAATACAAACACAATAGCGTTCCAGCACCTTCAGTGATTGGACCCCTAAAAAGATGCATTCGCTGCCTGCATTCGTAAAGTAGACCTGATACCCAACCTAGAAACACTTAACATTTTAAATATTGCTGGTTAGAGCTTGATTATTTAGCGTTTAGCTTAGCTGATTTTAAGTTTTATGTTTATTTTTACATTAACTGCTTTGTATTTGTTAGAAAACACTCTCTGTCTTGTTAAGGTTCCAGATGTTTTCACCCTCCTTTTTTTT